GCGTCGGCACAATGTCGGTCGCCTCTCTGTCTGTCTCAGTTTCGCAGCTTCAGAAACTCTCGAGCACCATCCCGGGCAGTGCCTGACTCCCAATTGCGTCGGGTTCGCTTTTCGCAGTTTCTCGCATTCATCACAAGTTAGACTGGAAAGATGTCGAGATATGGATCGGCCGAATACCCGCTTTTGGCTTTTTTTAATACAGGCTCCTCGCATCGTAGCGCCAGCTCGCTACCTGCAGCTACGCCGGACTTATGCACGTTGCCAGATTGGTGTGGCTTACCACGTCCCTGGAGCGCGATAAAAGAGCTGGTAAGGCCAGTAAAATCCTTCTGTCCATTGTTCGGCCTGGCCAATCACGAAAATTGGTTCGCCAGAGGCACGGTCGGGTCGTGCCTTCGCAACCGCATGTCAAAAAGTCTTGAACTGGACGTCGCATCGCATAGCGACTTGATCTATGCACGATTCGATGCAGCTATGTATAGCTCAAAGGATGTCGCCCTGATGTTGGTGACGTGGAGTCACGATCCTCCTTAGCAGGCTGAGGCTTCGCTGGTATCAAGAGTCAGTCCTGCCCACTATTCATTCTTCCTCCACGAGTAGATCAGGGTCATCAGTCAATACGTTGGTTACGGTCGTTGAGTCGAGCAATGCGAGCCAACCACGTTACTTGACAACTCATTGCATCGGCAACTCCGCAGCTTGGAACACGACGAATATTGCCATTGACGCACGCATACAGTTACCCGGTTCGTATGTGTGGGGAGCTTGTTGGAATGTGGGAATGGCCAGCAGCATGACGCCACCTTGGTTTCATCGACACTCAAGATGAGGTTCTGTTCTCCGCCTTGACGCGGTTTGCGAAGTTCAACTCAATTGCGGGGCCTTTGCGACCACTGCAGGACTGCCGAGAGGATTCAAAGGCCTCGTCCAGAACCAAGCGCAGTGGGCCAGGAGAGAGCATTGCCTACGGTCCACTCTGGAAATCTTCTGGAAGGCGAATCATGATTGTCTCAAGGCTTCACGGGAGGATGATGATCTGCGCTACTGACTCATCGTCCAACCGAATGATGGGCCAGGAGCAGACGAGACGGCGTAGCATGTTGCTGTTGTTTTTCTACCAATTTCCCCAAGCTCCACGGAATACGATGAAAAGCAAAGCATGCATTACCAAGTTGGTAGATATACATTGACGCAGTTGGGTGGGATTACTGTTAGACTGCACCCTGACCCGCGTGAAGCTGCATCGTGAACCCCCAAAGAGGCACAGGCTTGACTCGCAACCGACGACAACTTCCCCACCACCCCGCCCGCCACAAACGACCTTGAAAACTCGTAAGGCCACACTAAGGGAGGCGTAGTAAGTCCCTCAATTAACACTCCACTGCGATCCTCCTGGCGTCCTGATATCCAGCGGTTGCGGCTGCCAATCCCGTTCCAATCGCCCAACGGAACTTGAAACCAACAACTCAATGACAGGACTGGACGTCGCGACGAGGCAGCTTGTTGTTACTTCCGGTCACGACATGGCAATTTCAGAAGCCAGTGATATGTCTCTATCGTACCAATATCCCAACATTACCTTTGCGCGGTTTGTCACGGACTATTTCGGTGATATAAGCATACCCTCCCGCCGCCCCGCGTTCAGCAGGAACCTAATTCTGAGTTGACATGGGGCCGGGGCCCGGATGAGCTTGATTTGGGCACATCTAACGACGTTGGGACAATGGCTAGCTGCTGGCGGGCAATTACGCACCCGGCCATGGCAGCAATTGCGCGAAGGGCATGTGGGTCCTGCCCGGGCACGGGATGTGACTCGTAGCGATTCGCGTGGATAAACGTCCGGCTTCCAGGTGAGTTGAAATTGGCGAAGAGACGTGTTGCGACTGGATATAACAGTAATATGCTAACGTTGATGCAGGGTGCCACCAATGCTTGGAGTGGTACGATTCCCGCATGCATGCGCGGTCATGTTATCTGCAGCCCGTCGTACCCTCGTCACAGTACAGTGCGCACCTCAGTGGGCACGGTCGACGACCAGCATTGCATCGCCATCAACACTAGGAGTGTCGTCAACCCACGGTAACACGTTGGTACATGCCACCTCCTGGTTGTGCTTACGACACACAAGCTAGTCTCTATAAGATCAGGAGCACACGGAGCGGATGAGATAATGTATTAGGTTCGTCGATCGCACCTGACTAAACGTCTTGGTTGGAAGCCCACCGCATCTCTCTACCGTCATATTCTTACCACGGCCTTTTTCTCCCTCGTTCTTCGCAGGAAACGCCGGAGTAATCCTCCTAGCCAACGGCGGATCGGAGGGTGGCTAGTCTTCCATGCCGGCACTTGCAACCTGCGCCGGTACTTCCGACCCATACCTCGTATCGACCTTCTGCAACGCGTAATGGTCTGTGACTGTCACGACGAGCCTGACAGGTGACACACAGTCGAGGAGGATCATGTTTCACACTCGGTGCCTGAGCCCTGAGGATCCGCATTGGTGGCCTATCCGGCACGGCCCGGGCTGTCACCAGAAATCAATACCAGTGCGATAGTCGCCTGTTTTTGCTTTTTCTCGCGTTGCATATACCTTGGGTTCGGCGGCCCGATCAATGTATTGTGTAAACATCCACCGCTCTTTGTCACCTCTTGATCAGCACGAGCTGCATATCTCGGAGAGCTCGACAGAGTTGGAGCTCCGCCGCGGCGACTGGGATCCCATGCTTACGCAAGAGCAGAATCGCGGGTTGAAGCGGTGGGGGACGCAGCACCGCATGTTTTACCGCCATCGCAAACCTTCTTCCAAGAGAACTCCTCAAACGGAACATACCGCAAACGTTTTGGAGTAGATAAACGGATAACGTATACATCCTGCTCAGCCTCGGTCGGTCGGAGCGTTCACACCGAATGGCGAGCGCGGCCGTAACGGCGCGTGAGACTGTCCGCTCCCTACTAGGACAGCGGAGCCATCTCCGCCCCGCTACGGACACGGTACGGCACAAAGTCTGGCCTTTTTCACTAGCACGATCTGAGACGCAGCTAAAAGGCTACAGGTATGACGTGCATAACGACTGCAGAGCTAGTCGTGGATCGCCTTTCGGAGGTTTAGCATTGTTTCCACGCCCGTGGGCGCGCGCGGAGACAGCTCGCTATACAGAACAAACGCAACCTTGGAAAGTATATTCAGGGTCTAGATTTGGTCAAGATTAGCTCGGGTTCAGCAACACTTACATTGACCCCCAATCCGGCTCGTCGCTTCTGCTTCCACAATCTGATAACCGGCATAAACCGACGATATGCCTCGTTGGCGCGTCGAGACGGCGGCCCTTACTCGGCCATATACTTTCAACCTCCGCTTCACCATCCGGTTGGTAACGCACAATGTTCTGTATAACCTCGCAGTCCCTACCCCAATAGTTCGAACAAACGGGATCAGCATAGGCATGATTTGTCAGTAACACTGATACGCGTTTTGGAGCTGGTGATCACCAATCTCGTCAGCCCTGTTCTGGGTTGGGCCGCTGCAAAGAAAGCAATGTATGAGGTTCATACCTAACCTGACGATGTCAACCGCGTGGTCTTACCGCAAACAGGCCCCACATCCCCTCCCTGTAGGCGTGGCAAGGACAACCCAACTACGGACGAATCTCAAGCGTCGGTCGGACCCTCGGCGGAAGCATATGTACGAAAGACTGTCGTGCTGTGAGGCGGCGGGTGATCACGTCTGTGCCGTATCTCGGCGTTTTCACCGATAGTCGCTTTCGCTCAGGGCGCGGCGTTGATGGCGGTAAGGCTGACTGACTTACAGGGTTTGGGTTCATGTGAACAATCACCTCCAAGGCATTGCATATCCGCGACATTCCGCCAGGACCCTGCTGCGCAACCGCCAAGGCTACCGAGATGCACGCGCAAACATCCTTGCCGGATATGTTGATCTGGGGCAGCAGCATGGGGGGTTTACAAAGCTGACGACAACAGTCTTGTCTACGTATGCATCCCTTGCTCCAAGCATACGCACGCCGTCTTGGCTTCCTCAGACTCGTGTCTGGGGTCACGCTCATGATTAGCGGACGGTTTGGAAGATATCCGAATAGGTGTATGACACAGACTGTCTGTCATACCCTACGTATGCGCGTAAGTCCATGTCGTGGATCCCTTGGTTTACACATGGTACATCCTGGCATACTGGACTTTGCGCATCAACTGCGCTACTGCTACTACACTACAAGGAGTGTGGTATCGAGACGAGGAACGAGAGCGAGGTAATGCAATGTTGAATCCACACTGGCAATAGAGTTTGAAGAAGTTTATCTCAAGTGCAAAAAAGCGTTGGGTTATTTGCGTCTGCCGTGTGGGACTTGGTCGTTTGGTCGTTTGCTTTGGCTCGTGACGAGGTCAATGTGGGGGATGGGGCGCCGTGTAAAGTCGTAAACTTTGTTTGCTGGAGAGCCACAGGCGGTGGCTCAAGGTGATATCAACCGGTCGACTATCGATCGCTACAACTATGGAAGTGCATTTTTGAGGAGGCTAGAGGGGGAGAGTTCTTTTCCGTAGAAAGACGCTGTTGTTACTCGGGTCTTCAAACTGCTTTAGTAGCATACTGGGTTTCAGTGGTCTGGTGTGGTTGTTGTCTGTGTATTGAAAGCCGACTCAAGACTAATATGTGCACCAGAGATGATCTTAGGATCCAGAGCACGATAAAATCAGCGTATGTTAGACTATCATACAAGTGATTTCCATGATTGCGCTTTCATCCTATGATATCCACGTTTCACTTCACCGTTGCATTCTGTCCAAACTTGCAGCTGCTGCATAGCAACCATACTTCCATGCTGAATAGTCGTACAAATCTTTTTCTAGAGGCTCAAAACATGCATACGTGAATTATCCAACCAAAAGTCGTGTTCAAGAATGATGTAGGTCGTGATTGGTCAAAGCGCGCCTTCTGCCGTAGCGAATTCAGGAACAGGCATCGCTCATCCTCCATCACGTCAGCCAATATGTCGCGTCTCGAAGACATTCCCACACCCGACAATGGCTTCTATGTTCTCGTCACGGGCGCAAACAGGTTGGAACATCTACCCTTCTTTCGCATATGGTTAATTGACTCGTGTATAGCGGCCTGGGGCTGGGTATCGGAACCCGCCTGATCGACGAATTCCTACAGACGCGCCCCCAGAACGAATCCCTCGTCCTCATCATCACGACACGCGATCAACGGAAAGGCGACGCGACGATCGAGACGCTAGACCAGCACTTGCGCAAGGTCATTCGCAGCCATGAACAGAAGCTACCGGGCATTGCACAGGTGCTGCAGAATCGCGTGTATTTCCGGCAGGAGCGACTGGACCTGCTGAGTCTGGTCTCGGTGCAGAAGCTGAGCAAGAAACTCCGGGAAACGACACCGAAGCTCGATGCAGTCATCTGCAATGCTGGCATAGGCGGGTGGACGGGTATTGACTGGCCGCGCGCCGTCTGGTCCGTCTGCACAAAGTGGTTGCAGGCTACCACCTGGCCGACGTACAAGATCTCTGGTCGCGAATGGCTTGCAAAGGAACAAATACCTGCGGACAAGAAAACGGAAAAGGAGCCTCCTTTGGGCGAGGTCTTCTGCGCCAATGTCTTTGGGCACTATCTGCTAGGACACTACCTCGCATCCTTACTGGCGAAACATCCTAGAAACGAGGGCACAAGGGGCAGGATGATTTGGGTCAGCAGCTTGGAGGCGTACGAGCACGTCTTCGACACAGAAGACATACAAGGCATCACATCGCATATGCCATACGAGGCCACGAAGAGGCTGACAGATGTCCTGGCCATCACCTCTAGATTACCTTCAACCACGGAGCCTGTCGACCAGTACCTCGACCACGCCCAAGATACCGAAAAGACCACGAAGCCACGGCTCTACGTTACACACCCAGGCATCTGCGCCACTTCGATCGTCCCCCTTCCCCTCATCCTCCAATGGGCCATGGTTGCGGCCTTCTACATAGCGCGCCTTCTCGGCAGCGATTGGCATACCATCTCGGTCGACAAGGGCGCGACTGCCATGGTCTGGCTGGCGCTTGCAAGTCAAAGCACATTGGACAACATGGAGGCAAAGGAAGGCGTAGGAAAGTGGGGAAGCGCGGCGGATGTTTGGGGTCAGGAGCGTGTAGATCGCACTGAGGTGGCAGGATGGGGATGGGGAGGCAAGCTGGGAGAGTACAAGAGGAAGGGGAGGGATCCGTACGCCAAAGACCTGACCAAGGAGAGCCAAGAGCGCTTCACAGATACTGGGAAGAAGTGCTGGGAGGAGATGGAGAGGTTGCGCGTCGAGTGGGAGGACCGACTGCGACAGGCTGGCATGGCAGTGGAGATGGAATGATCACCGTCCCCCGCTCCCCACATGCAAGAGGCCACACACTATTTGTATATCTTTAATATTTCACGATAGACATAAACTTTCTCTCTTGAGCCCCACATGCAGAGCAGCGGGGCACAGGGTTCGGCCAAGCCATTAACTCAGCAATTCACCGTCTACTTGCGACGTGACAAAACCACCAAGAAGGCGGCTAGCAAGCAAAAATATGCCGGAATGACAGTGTTGGCGCCGACATTATGCCGGGCGATCGCTTGTCGGAGGGGAGCCCGAATGCTTGGGCAACATGAAGGTTGAGGCCTGAGCTTGACAGCTGAAGTATGCAGGTTGACGGCGACACAGCAGGGACAAGGCCGAGTCGATAGAGATCTTGGATGGAGGATTAGAATCGTGGTAGACTACGTCAACTCGGTCGCAGATCTGGGAGAAAAAGAAAGTAAATGATGGAAGCTGGGAGACCACGGAGTCCTGGGCATCGTCGTGTGCTTCATCACAAATCACCTCGGCGACGACCGACGAACGACAGGACTCACCTGCGCTGGAAGCAGCGCTACTGGGCATAGTCTGGATGGTCGGGGAACGCGCCACACTGCGCCGCACTCGGGTTCGCAGGCGGTTTCGCACTGTGTGTTGTTTCTTGCTGTGGATGCTGGAGGTATCAGAGATATCATACGTAAAAGTAGAGTGCGCCTCGAGACTGTTACCACATCCCCCGCAATCGCATTGTCTCGTTCGTGATGTTTCTTGTGACGACATGCGTCGGTCATGCAGCAATCCCAGGAACCGCACTCGTCAAGTCGGCCAGGCAAGGGGCTCAACCAGGTTCATCCCCACTCATCTCCCAAAAGCACGAATAGGAAGTGTTGATGCGACGTGCAATCCGCCGTGCTGGGTCGCGCCGGCCAAGGGCTCCCGTCGTGCCCCTTCTCACTTGCCCTATCTCGGTCAAGTCTTCCCTTCTGGCCCTCCCTCCCCCATCCACTGAGAGTTGCTGCCCGACGCGAATCTTCGCTATCCCTGAGACAATTCGTCATTTTCGAGTCTCCTTCACGCGTGCAAGTCTTTCTAATACTACCGCCTCTTCACCTCCTCCATCCAGTTCCGCCAGTGAATGCGCCTGCCGTGAAGTCGCGATCGAAGCCATCTACGCGATCCCAGCAACGTGCACTCGACTACTGTCACCGCTCATTTTCTTTTACCACGACAACCCAGGACGCCAACAGTTGCGCAATACGTCGACGGTAGCATTGTCCCTGCCATAGCGCGAATGGACCCCAAGAACGACCCGCTTTCGAGCGACTATCCACCTGTCTTCGCACGCGACGCGACCGTTCAAGCGCCGTTGCTATCAACAAATCTCGCATAGGCGCAAACCTCACCTTCGATTCGCATACCCTACGTAATATCTCGCCCTACACCTACCCTGCCGACTGCACAATATCGCCCGTCTTGGTCGCGTGACGATTGCTAGAACTGGAGGCGCATACATTGTTCGCGCACAGGACTTGGACTATACAATCGCATTGTCGGCGATCAGCTTTCTCTCGCGGACAAAGGGTTGTTTCTGCTGGCTGGAGAACACTGCAGTTCTACCTATAATACTGCCGGTCGCAGTTATTCACCGGAACTCTACACCAATATGTCGAACACCTCTTCCTCACATGGTTCCTCCCGTGGGATAGACTTTAGGCCGTCTACCCCCGACCAGACCCGACCTACGCTTTCTCGATCGAACTCCCTGGCGCCGAAATCAGAATACCTACGGCATGCAATTCAAGCACGGAGGGCACAGGGTACGCCTACTCCTTCACCTCAGGATATCAAAGTGCCCCCACCACCAGCACAGAAGCCTCCGGAGATATGCACGCCCAAGACTTCGCCTGACATCTTTGATCAATTCGCCCTCACGGAAGAACAAATGACCCCGGTGTCGCCTATCCGACGACGTCGGCCCAGCGATGCTCGCCCACCGCAGTCCAGGACGAGTCGAGAACTCACAGAAGAGATCGACAAGTTGAAGCAGACGCTCATGACTGCCAACATGCGAGTGGAGCTGCTGAGGAAGGACAACAAGGTGCTGCAGCATGATTTGACGGCCGCCAAAGAACAAATCGAACGGATGGAGCCACTAGAGGATGCGAACTACGAGCTGACTGCGGAGAACAAGCAACTCAGACTCAAAATGGAAAAGATGGATGAAGAGATGACGAAGCTGCGAGAAATCGACGAGGAGCATCGGAAGACCAACATCGAGCTCACTGCTATAGCAAGCGAGAGCGCGGCACACTGGACAGATCACGAGCTCGCCATCGAAGAAGCTGCCGAGACCATCATCATGATGGAGGAAGAGAAGGAGTTGCTCGCGGAAGAAGTCAAGCAACTCAAACAGCGAGTCATGGCTATAGAAAGCCATTCCCCCGCTAGCACGCTCGTCAACAGCCCTGGCAAGTTCCCACTTCGCGTCTTCAGTGTGGACGAGTCGCGGCCGTCTACTTCGCACTTCGATTCGGATTACTACAGCCAGCCTGAATCGCCGCAAGCGAAGCAGAGCAGCGCGTCGATCAGGTCGTTTACGCCTTCAGAACGGTCGAAGAAGTTTCTTGATCTCAAGGAGGAGCGACGACGGTCTGCTCGTGATCTGAGTGAGCGCATGTCTGCAGTATCCCTGAAGGCACTACGCGAAGCGTCTCTTTCCCCAACGCCAGAAGAAGTTCCCGCAGTTCCTACGACCCACCAGCAACAGGACCCTTCCATTGTAGCGGATGATAGGTCTGCCACTCCCTCCAGGCGCCGTGAGCACGTTCGCCAAATCGACCAGCCACGTCCGCTGTCTTTGATGGACGCAGCAGAGATCTCCCCACCTCGCTCACAAACAGTTGCCCCTCAGGCTCCTGACCGCCAACCAGACGGTCTACGAGGATTATACCGCCCTCGCAAACCCTCAAACCGAGCGTCAACCGACCAACGCCCATCCTCAAGCTACATCCCTAGTACCACAAACACCCCCGGTAGTTCCCTAGGCCGCCACCACTCCACCCGAGAGGCCTCCCCTCACGTCCCTCCCCGCAGCAGCAGCAGACACCGAGCCACAGAGCGTTCAACCGAGTCACCCCAACGCACCTCACCCCGCCACCGCTCCTCCTCCACCGACGCGCGAACCCCCCAAACAAACCGACACTCAATGGCTTCAGGGTGGGAATCCACCACCCCACCCCCCTCCTACACCCCTTACTCCCCCGCCTCCAATGCCTCCACCCTCGATCTAACCAGCTCGCTAGATCCCCGTCGAGCCAAAGACCAATGGTGGCGCAGCCTCGATCGTTTAACTCACTCTCAAGTCATGGCTCAGGAGATTCAAGCACAGGGAATACAGATGCCACGGGGTTATGACGCCGGGCCAAATCCTACTCCTGCTGTTGTTGTTGCTCCTCCTCCTAGTACTACGCGGACGAGGAGTAGTAGTACAACGGGTCAGCATCGCAGCCGTAGACCTACGCCTACGCCTTCGAGTGCGCTGAATAGTCATCCTGTGGTGGCTGCGGAGAAGGATTGCCTGTTTAATGCGAAGGAGAGTACGGAGGATTTTATGAGTAAGATGAGGGGGGGTAAGGGGTCGAGAGACTCTGTCTTTTCCTTACGTTGAATTAGTTACTTGGTTCTTAATGATTGTACGGCCTAATCTTGTGGTTTTGTTTTCACAACGGCGTTTGAGAAGGAAGACAGTATACTCCGCGAGGAGGTCATTCGATAGCGTGGGAGGGGTATATTTGAGATTGCGGCTTTGCTTCGCGTCTATATCGAGCTTTTATCTGTCTGTCCAGAGGACGGAAGAGGGGGATACTGTATCACTAGTCGAGTGTATCGACGTAACATTATATAATAACATCACCCATCCTTGAATCTCTTCCATAACACATAACTGAAGTAAATCGTGATCCCCATATCCAAAACATACTCGCACCAAACAAAGCAATCCACACAACATTCCCAACCCAATCTACCCCCTCCCCCTAAACTGCTCAGCAACCACATCCCCCAACGTCCTCCTCTGCCTCGCCTCCCCCGCCCCCTCCGCCAATATCCCCGTCGCCAGCCCCGCCCCACCCCCCTCCCTCTCCCTCTCATCCTCCAGCCTCGCCCTCAACCCCTCAAACCCACCCTTCCTCTCCTCACCCACAACCCACCCGGGCACCCTCCACCTCGCCGCACCGGGCAGCACATCGCGCCTATACGCCGTTCCAACCCCCCACCCCACCGCCGCCGCTAGTAAGCTCCCCGGAAACTGGGATAGCGCGAGTTGTAAAGGAGGGAGATAAGATAGGGATTTCGAAGTCAGCGTTATGGAGCGCCGATAGAAAGATTGTTGGGATGAGGGGGTGGAGGCGGCCCAGGGAGAGATTTTGTAGCGGTAGGTGGACGGGATTGCGGCGTAGTAGTTTGCGAGGAGGGCGAAGAGGAGGGGGGTTGGGCCGGCGGGGAGGTGGTTCATGCGGCCGAGGGTTAGGGGGCGGAGGATGAAGGTTAGGATGAGGGGTGGGAGGAGGGTTGTGTAGGGGAGGGTGGAGAGGAGGAAGGACTGTGGTTTTGTTAGTTGACTGGTGTAGGTGTGGGAGGTGGGTAAGAGGGAGATGGGGATACATACAGCGAACTTCCTACTCCCCCATATCCTTTCCACAACGCGGAGTTGGTAGAATGTTAAGACTGCGAAGAGGACTTCGGTTGAGTTTGTGAAACTTAGCTGGAATGTCATGTTAGCATCCATCTCACCCACTTCATCCAATTCATCCATGTCTATCTCCATCTTTCCACCTCTCCAACCCCGTGAAGCGAGACCAGACATACCGTCCAAACCCCACACCTCCAAAACTGCCCATACCCCCACAAATGCGGCACAACCTGAATATGCAGATAGAATCTCGAATCCGTGATTGCGGCCAGCAGCGCACCAATGACGGTGCCGAAGACGAGGAATTGCGTGACGGGCGCGTTGGTGAAGCCCGAGGAGATCATTGTCGCGTTGTAGAAGAAAGGAGGGTGTTGTCGCAAAGAAGGAGGGGAATGCGCATAGCGCAAGTAAGTGTGGGAGGGTGGTGGCCGCGGTTGAATGGGTGGAATGGGTTGAGAGTTGGGGACAGGTGGGAGCGATGACGATCGGCGCATGTGCGCGATGCGGAGCCAAGGGCGGAGGTGCCACAGTTGCCATTGGTACGCGAATGACCTGACCCTGGCTGCGTTGTCTTTCACATTCCTGCCATGCAGTCGCACATGTTCCGGTTTTTTGGTTTTTATAGAAGAAATGTTTGTAGCATGCTATCTCCATGCTTGCACGAAACTAAAATGCACCTGGTGTGCGCAGGTTTGCGGCCAGGCTGAGGGTGCGCTGCTGGACTGTCGCAAGAACATGTCCAACAATCGCAATCGTAGCTCACGCGACCAACAACAATTCGGATAACAGGATGATTTGGTTTCAATACAATCACACGCCAAGACAGGGTACTCAGCTATATACACAAGCCAAAAAAACACGACCATGGGCTCCTCGCCAGGAACGCCTCGTCGCCACAAAAAAAAGAGCCGAACCTCTTCAAGTCCCCCTACTCACTCACACATTTATTTCTCACCCCTGTTATCACTCCTTGCAGCATTCTTCTTCTTCTCCACAGCCGCATGCTCATGCTTAGCCAGCTTCTCCTCACTCGAACCCTCTTCCTTGAAAACCTTCTCGCGGTCAACAGGACCAGGGATATGTTCTGGAAGTTCGCTGCGGGAGATGAGAGTGAGGACGATACTGGCTCCGACGATGGCGGTGAGGACGAAGCGGTATACGGCGTACCAGTTGGGTGTCCAGCCGAGGCGGCTTACGCCTTTGTGTTGTGTTAGTATAGGTTATTAGGATGGGTGAATGGAGAAGGGAGAAGGGAGAAGGGAGAAGGGAGAAGGGGGAAGGACATACGAGTATCAACATAGTACAGTCCAACGAAACCCAAGAACTGCGAGATGAGTGCGCCTTCAATGGGCATGAGCAGTGTTGACCACGCTACCATTGGTGCTACAACGCCAATTGCATAGCGCTTGTAGCCCTGTGTGCCTCCGTAGCCTGCCCACTCGAGTCCCCAGTGGATAGCGCCGAGGAAACTCAGGATCGACGCTCCGTATCCGATTTGCAAAGGTTCGATGAGGGAGAGGAGGTATGTAGCGTCTTTTTGCGAGAAGATCATGCCGTAACCCGCGGTAGAGTGGTTTAGTTCCCACGAGAGGTACACGGTGGAGATGGAGGTTGCGAGGTAGGGAAGCGTGCCCGCGAGACCCATGTAGTATGCTTCGCGTGGGACTTCAGCGAGGGAGAAAGTTTCTTTGATCGTGCCCTGGTATTTGTCAGAATCCAAACCCAAAAGACGTCGTCAAGAATGTAAAGAAAAGAGAAATTGGTAAACATACCACATCATGCTTCAACCCCGCCGCCATATCCACCTCATTCTGCGGCTGCTCGGTGCCCACCTCCGAAAACATCGGATGCGTCGAACTAGTACTCGTCACCGTCTCGGGCGTAGGCTTAATCTTCTCGTGCGCATATCTGCTCTCCGCCTGCTTCTGCCCTTCCGTCAACGTCTTATCAGCCATGCTGCGGCGCAAGACCGCAGACGCAGGCTTCAATTGCGCAACAGCAGCCGCTGTTGCTAATTGCGGTCTCCGCGCAGCCAAAGAACCAAATTGTGTTGCCCATTGCAGGGAAGGTGTTGTGCGGGTGAAGCTCGCAGCCGGGCGTGCCGACTGGGGCGCTGCTGCGGACCTCAGCGCGAGGCGCGACGCTCCGTTGCGAAGCATATTAGATTAGCGGGTAGTAGGTGTGTAAGATGTGGTATCGAAAAGCTCGAAAAGCAAGAGATGTACAACGCGGGTGCAGTAATGTACACAAAGCACGAGCTGGGTATATTGGGGAGAAGACAAGAGAAGATAGGGTTAGATAGTACTTTGCGATTCCAGCTACAAGCTTCCCCCGCAAGTTGACGCGCGACGCCAGTCTGACGTCATGCATGCTTTTCATCATCGCCGGCCATGCTTCGGCATCGCAATCGTGATCCTTGTCTCGTAGTGGATCGCAACGGTGCCGCGACCCGTAAATAACGCGAAGGAGCTGTCACCATGAGACAAAATGTGCCGTTGCGCGGTGGGGCTTTCACGCGCCATGCTATCAGTTCGATCATAATTCGGCCCAGCCTCGCTTTAGTCCGGCCATACTGACAAGTCAATAAGATACGATGACGCACGATCATGTTGTTCCATTGCTCTAAGAGAAGAACTGTCTGATTGATAGAAAGAGTATACATTATAGGAGTCCAATCGAAACCGCAAACTCATACCAAAACCACGCTATGCCATGTACTCATAAACCTCATTATACCTCCCCATCTGCTCCCTGATTCCCCATCTCAATCAACCCTTCGCGTTCCACCGGTCATTATAAGCATTAACACCCACAGCAACCTGTCGGTAGAACCAATTCCTACTCTCCTCATCACTAACCGGGATGAAAGGCCCATTCGTGCCTCCCTTGAGCGTGATACCCAAGCCAGTCCTCTCCTTGCTGATGGTCTGAACGTCCTTGAGCGGTACATCCCATTCAGTCTGTAGCTTCTTCGTGCGCACCATCATAAGGCCGTTATATGTGAGCATAACGAGCATCTCCTTGTTTTGCAACTCAAGATGCGCAATGTAGTCTTCGTTGAAGTACTTGCCGTTATCAAGTGTCTTCAGCCAGAACTGACCGAGCGCTTCGCGTTGAGAGTAGGGGCGCACGATGCCGTCTGTACCGATGAAGCGCGTGAGGCGTACACGGTCGAGGCCTTCTTGGTCGAAGACGGTGGTTGTGTTGCGCACACCTTCTGCCATGTTGGAGGCAAGATCAAAGGCTCCGATGGCCGCCTTGGTAGGTACACCCAGCAGTCCTTTGCCGACTCCCTTGACGAAGCCAAGAGCACCTTCCTTCTCAGCTCCTTGGATGGGGTGACGGGCGAGACCACCAAGGCCACTGGCGAGACTGCTAGCGAAGGCATTACCACCGGATGTGATACCGTAGAGTGCGTGCTTGGGCCTGTTGCGAGACCGCGACATACGACGCTGGTCCTGGAACTCTTTGTCCAAGGTGGCCGCAGAGAGACCCTTTGACATACTGCCAGTGAACTTGGCCATACTGTCTGAGAATCCGAACACGGACTTCTTGACGAAACTTGACGCACCCTTTGCGATGCCGATACCAAGGTCTTCAGGACGATCCGATTTGACGAGACCCTGGTACGGCTCGTAGAAGATGTCTGCAACACCAGAGCTGATGTTGTTGAACAGTCCGACTGGGTTACCGAGGAAGTCAGCGGATCCGATGATGACGTGCACTTGTCGCAGCGACTCCTGCACGTAATGGTTCTTGATGTTGTTGATCAACGCAGTTGTCGAAATGCGAGCGTTCTCCAGCATCAAAGAGTTGTATCGTACTGGTGCATCGTTGACGTTACCGATTGACATTGTGAGAACGTTAACGGCGAACATGAACGGGTTGGAAGTGCTCATGGTGTCTTCAGCGTTGATACGCTCTGTTCGGACAAAGGACAGATCGATCTGCATAGGCTGCAGATGGAGGAGCTCGAAGTAGACGTCCTGGCCAGACTGCTCCTGCTTCGGCTCGGGTATGCTGAGATTGTCGTCCCATAGCTTGCCCTGCTTCTCTTCAGACCAAGAAGCGCCAGGGATGTTCGCGAAATCGATCATGGCGAAGATGAAGTCCTCGTCAATTTCGATCGTCATCTGCTGGAGCAGGAATGTGAAGTACTTGATGTACAGCACACCATACGAATCGTCCTTGACCTTGGTGATGGTTGTCTGGAAGATAGGATGCGCCTCCATCTCCTTGCCCGTTTTCGGAACAACACTGGGGTAGAAGATAATCGGGAAGATGCCGCCGTAGAGTTGGTTGTCGACTTGAATCCACTTGACTTGCATGTTGACCATCTGGTAGAGGGGCGAGTCGGAGTATTTCATCTCGATGTCGCGTAGTGTGACGTACACCAGCTCCTTCAGGTGGCGGTTGACGAGTGATATGCCGATACCAGCAAGGCGTATCTGGGCCTTAAAAGTGACATCTGTATCCATATCCTTCACCTCGAAGCCGGTCGCCGTCGAGGATGAGCCAGCAGACTTCTGCTTGTACATACTCTTAGATGGCTTGTAGTTCGATACTTCGAGAGTCTGCGTGGGACCCTTTGCGACGACGTTCAGATCGATGACTTTCATGCCACCGCGTTCTTGGCCAGGCGGTATCTTGAATGGAATGAGCGGACCAATCTCGGCAAGCTTGACGTGTCGCTCTCGGCCATTGGCGCTGATAACAATCTCCTTGTTCTTCGCAGCCGGGAAATCCCACGCATATGGCATGATGCTCCTAGGAGGCAAGCGGTACCTGATCGGTCGGAAACCGGAACCGCGGTCATCCTCGTCCTCATCCAGGTTGGGGTTAGCTTGCCAGTACAGGAACTCTTGGTCGCTCATATTCTTGAATGAGAACGGCCAATGCTTGTTCTCAACGCTGACATGGCAGAAGATCGTTGCTGCCTCCATCAAAATGTCGACACGAACAAGCTTCTGGCGCTGTCCAGCCTTCGAAAGTTTGACGTGGACGTTGCCGACGTTGGAGATGTTGAAGGGAGAAGACCACTGGTTGTTAACACCGGGGTAGCAGAGGGACAATTGTGGTGCTCCGCCTTGTCGCAGCCAACGGAGAGGGAACAGCTCGCCGTCCTTCACTGTCATCCAATCAGACTGACCAGGTTCTCGGATGAGTAGCTCCTCCTTCATCTTGTTGTTGACGATGAAGCGCGGTGCGATGGAAACGGTCTTGGTCAAGTTGTACTTGCCTTCGCCCTCTGAGACGGAGACACCCAAGTGCATGTCAGAGCGTGCCGCTTTTGAGGGCAAGGCTACCGTGTATGTGCTACCGATCGCATCGAAACTCTGAGGCT